AAATAAGTTGGTTCTGGACCTGGTCACAAGGCTGGGATTTTTAAAATGGTTTTTACTTGAAAATTTGCTAATGTTTTTTTTCTAAAAAAAAAAAAAAAAAAAAAAAAAAAAAAAACCTTTCCTCTTTGGTGACTCATTTCCAGACTGTAATCCTCTCTGTCTGATCCTCAAAGGCCACAAGTAGCAGTCAGGTCGGCAGAGAAGCTAATAGTTAACACTCAGTGACTCACTCAGTTCAGGACTTCTTCAAGCTGTAAAGTCAGGAATCCTCACACAACCGTCCTGAACGCCACTGTTCCCAATTCTGCCCACCGGAGGGCGCTGTCGAGCCCAGCAGGTTTGCCGTCTGATGCAGCTTGTCCAACAAAAGGATGTGTTTTTATATGAAAATGTATTTTATTTGTAACATGTGCATTCACCGATGAATCAAACTAACGGAGAACAGACAAGTTCCTGCTGAGAAACTAGAACTGTTGACACCGAAACACTACTGTAACACCAAGAATCCATCATCATCATCATCATCATCATAGACTGAAGCTGCCAGGATATCACGCGACAGAAGCTGATAATATTAGGCATTTCTGGCCTCTTTACTGTTGTGTCTCAATTACCAGAAGTCATCTACAAGGTTTGTTCCCACAGCTGAAGAGGTTAAACATTATGCCTCTATTTTGCTTTAAGAAACCTTAAACATTGCCTGTCATATGCTGCAACTTAGTTGTATTACATCATAATACTTAATAGCTTAATAAAATATTTGTTTGAATCTGAAGACTCATCTAGTTTCAGGTAATGTTAATGTTCTTGGATATATAATTGTTTTGTTGTGTCTTCTGTTTTGAAAATATTGATTAGAGGTTAATCAACTGGCTTAGAAGAAAAGAAGAAAAAAAGAAGAAAAAGATGTAACTATTCTATTTAACCACCATTTAAAAAAAAATGTGGGGAAGAAATGTACAAAGAGCATTTTTTCCTTTTGCTTCCTTACCAACTTGCCATAAAAATCGGATGTTTTTCTACATAAATAATGCTGAATGACAAAAACATGTATCACACATGAAAGAACAAAACTGTTGTGTGAATGTTTCTCTGTTTATTTGATTCTTAATAACTGGAACATTAAGCATTAAATCTGATGTGCTTGATGATTTTAATGATGGCATATGTTTCATATTCCTTACTTTATTATGTATTCAAGGTGTAAAACACTTTGAATGTACTTGTTGCTGAAATGTGCTTTTCCTATAAACTTGATTACAGCCCTCACATTTAGCATAAAACTATTTTTTTTAGAAGAAAAACTATAAATTATGCTTTTATGCCTCAGAATGCTGAAGGATATTCATGAAGGGATGAACACAAAGTGTACCACCATTTTTGGATTCTTTTTTGTAAAATAGTAAAATATCCTGAATCGTTTTCATTCCCCTTTCTAATTACTCACCACTAGATTATATTTATTTATCTAACATGTAGATGTACAATCCCAACAAAGTGCATTAAAGTTTGTGACTGCATCATAAATAGGGGTTCATTTGTGGTCTGTGGGACGCCTAATCTTATTTTACATTTTTAAGATATGAATCTTGCTTTACTACCACAGATTAAATAATTAATCCTTGTTAGAGCCTGAATTTGTGCTCCCTGACCCTAAAGATATGAATGACATTGCTGTTGACCACCTAGCACGTCATGGAGCGAGTCACAACCAATCACAATGCAGAACTATTTGACGAAAAGCTGTGGCATCCAATCAAAAAGCCAGTAGGCGCAGTTAGGCCTGCCTCTGCTCTTCTTTCGGCCAATCAGACCCAAGCAGTAATTATTTATTCATTAAATTGCAAAGGGGAGTGACGCAGTTATTGTAGATCAGAGGATACTCCATGCTTTTTTATACATGACGTGAAATCGCATTTTTAAAAAAAATCAAATCAAATACAGAATACGTCGAAAAAAAGAGGGTGCCCCGCCGCCATCTGGACGCTGCATGTCGGATCTGAGCTCCCCTTGAATCTATTTGGATGCCATTCCCGCTGGAGGTTGCGGTACAGCCCGAGGACTGGATGTTATAACCGGGAACGGAAAACATGCCGCAGCCAAAGTCACGAAAAATCGCCATCCTCGGGTACAGATCCGTAGGTGAGTTCCCGGCCGGCGCAGCTAACTGGGAGGGATGACTCAGAGAAAGTAACATAGGATGGGACGCTGACAGCAGATCCGTGCGGCCTCTCGACTCGGTATAAGTCCATTATGAGGGCGGTTTACGCCTCCTATAATAGACTTAAATTACAGGCGGAGAAAGATCCGTCACGCAACATCTCTGAACGGGCGAATGAGCGCCACCAGGTGAAACGTGGGCTTGTGTTTATTTTCAGTATAGGCCACGAATGTGCGGTTCAAGGCGGATATATATATATATATTTTTTTTTTACACAAACCGATCATCTGGTTAGGTATCCATCAGTGACCCTCACCCCGGAGCCATGTTAGTCAGTGCCACGCTCCGTAGAGGCCTGGCGGTCCTGTGGATGTGACGCATCACTGCGTGGATTAATGTATCGCATCCGAAACAGAAGAAGCGCAATTTGTATGCGCTGGGAGGATGCTGAGGATGGCAAGATGGCACACGGAGATAACGCGATTAGAGAGCGGCATGTCTGCAGAAACGACAGAGAGCCCGGGTTTCGGATGGTTGCATAAGGTTTCAGCTTAATTCAATACGTTTACAGCGATTCACAGCAGATCTCAGTTGGCACTTTACCAGACAAATAGGTCCAATTCCTATCCAGGTATGCGGAAATGTGTGTAATCAAATGAATCCAGAACAATTCTGTCAGATTTAGAGACTAATTTAATTGCACACAATCTGATTTCGTCCTAATTGTAACACAATGCAGTGAAATTCTTCTTTTTTTAATGAGAGTTGGTGCAAAGTTATGCATCGAATGAAGCCCAGCTGATTCCACTGACTCTGCAGTGATGTCTTATCCTGAGCAGCCATGTGGTAACAGTGGGAAGGAACAGTTTAGTTAACTCGAGTGAGTTAATCTCACGCAGAATAACTGCTTTGGTTAATCAAAAGCAAACATTTGGTTTCTTAGATAATTCAAATGTTTTGTAAGAGCAATAAAGAAGAACTTTAAACAGAAATCTGTTATTTTGTATCATATAGTGTCATGGGGGAAGATATTCAGAAAAGGGGTAACCCGTAAAAGCTTATTGCTAAAGAAGCTGTTTCAGTGCTGTATTCAAGAATAATAATGGAAAATTTAGTGGAAGAAAAAAAAATGTGATTATACCTCATGATAATTTGTATTTTTCAGGAAAGTCTTCCTTGACAATTCAGTTTGTGGAAGGCCAGTTTGTGGACTCCTATGACCCAACAATAGAAAACAGTGAGTATGAATCTTCTGTGATATTTATTCTGATTCTCAGATTCTCATGTAGTTAGCAACCTAGGTGTCATGTTTGTCAACTATAAAAGCCTGTTTGGTTTCAGTGTTTATTTTTATTCGAAGTGGAGCTGAATGATAAGAGGAAAACATGTGAATAAGATTATAGGTTTCAAACATCCCACATTTTTATTTCCCATCTGTTTCATCTTCATCATTCTATCGCTCTCTATGGTCTTGTCCACAATTGTCTACACTGGGTTTGGGGATGAAGGGCAACAAAGGACACACTTTTTTTCATAAAGACATAAAAAGAGAAGAAAACGCAGGTATTTTCCACTGGGACCACAAGTTTGGTTTAAGGATGGTATATAATCTTGCATTCTATTTTAATTCAGTTTTGTGTTTAACTTCTAAGGTAGAAAATAAACAGGAAGGTCCCAGAAATTGGGAAATTTAGGAATTCTTCTAAACCAATATGGTCGCCCTATAAAAACCTTTTTTTTTTTATGTTTTTGTAATGCTTTAGGTCTTAGTAAAAAATTCATACACAAAGTTTTGTCCAACTTCTCTTAATGAGTATGTTTGAAATGACTAAGAAATGCAATTTTCTTTAAATCCATTTAAGAAAAAGTTAAAACGGGTAATTTTAATGTAATACTTTCTGTTTATGGCAATGAATCTGCTTTCTTTAGTTTCAGTTTTATTGATGCATGAGGAAGGACAGCGATGCATAAAAGTACTTATACCAACTGAAATATTTTCTTGGATCTTTACGTGATAGACAAACATAAAGTAGGAAGGAAAAGGACGCGTTGTTTTCAAATGTAATTTTAAACAAATACTTTAATAACTTTATAAATCATAAAAAACAATTACAATGAAAAGGATTTTTAACACATTTGCATCCTTCTAACTGGCTATATTACAATATTTAATACTGCAAATCACCCAGATTTAGGATCCGCTGTGTGGAGTGGAATAGTCTAAAATTTGGGTTTTGTATTTTCCTGGTCTGGATAAATGTTGACAAATTAAATAAATGTTAGAGAATTTGCTTTTCTAGGTTGTATTTCTGGTGATGTTTGGAATCTTAACATGAAACGTGAAAGAAACCGGCACATAATTATGTTTGCAAATGTATATTTTATTATTGTTTTGTCCATTTATTATTCTGATATGTAAATGTTTTATTCTTAAGTCTTTAAATGCTTTTTACACATAATGTAGAGACTGTAAACCAAATCAAGCAATTCAGAGGCATTGTTGCTAATATTTAGGTTTGTTTTCTATCCTGAGATCAAACTATGAGATGGTAACTGACAGTTAATTGAAAATAGTAAAGTAAATAGAAGTTTTGAAATGTGAGTGTTAGTGTTTGCAATATGATTGATGTCACTCAATGCATTTTATGACAGAAGTTCATTTATCCTGTGCATGTTTCCAGTTCCACCAAACCAGCCGTAGAATAATGCATTTCTGTTTCTAGTAGCATTAACTTCTGCGTCTGCTCATGAAGACGCTTCCTGGTGAAAGTCAAGTGGAATAATTTAATTCTCAGTGAGACGGAGTGGAAAAGAGACTCTCACTGTTCATACATCAAAGTTTTGTCTCGTCTTTTTTTATTCCTAGTGAATTGATTAGTCAAGAGGTGGTGCATTCATATGTAATATTGCTGTTATGTTGAGACACGTCAGGGAACCATTCAAAAACCCCGAGAGAAACTTGAAGTTATCCTGCCCAAGAACTTTACATACACTGCGTAAAAAAAAAAGACACATAATCTCTTTTATTGTTGTGTGATAACACATTAAATTAAAACTTTTCTATTTAGGGCGAGTTAAGATTACCTAAATTACTCATATTTGCTTAATGCCACAAAAATGAGATATTTTTTGTAGCTTTCTTCAAAGTTAGAAGCTTATATAAAGTGTGATTTGGGTCACACTTTATATAAGTTTCCTTCCATAAGTTAAAGCTTCTCACTATAGTTTGCTGACACATTCCTGCTGACAGATTGTAAATTTAAGAGCAAAAGTTATATTTAAAGTCAACACTGTGAGCTATTTATATAAAAAAGACAAAGAGCATTGTTGTGTTTGGGTCTTAAACCAAGTAGTGCAGCTTTACTGTTTGGTGTACATTATTATGGTATAGGTTTTAGCAGTAAAGCTTAACCAGTCTGCTTTTTAAATTTTTTTTTACTTTTGGACAAGTTCGTTTTGCACAGGTTTTGCTGCACGGCATGAACTAGATTGGACGATTCGGGGAATCACTAAGAGATCTTTCTGTGATTTTAACTGTGTGATGAAGAGCTGACTGCTCACAATGTCACTTTGGTGCAGTAACTAATAACAAGGGACGTTCTGAAGCATGCAGAACCATTTTTGATCATTCAGATTATGCCTTATCAGTGTTGTGATGTTGCATTTAGTCTGCATGTCTGGTCTCTATGTTTTTTTGGCATGCGACAAAACCCCACATAGGAGTAAAGCGCTCTTTGTCCAGATTTTTTTAAATTAAAGGCAGCTGTAAAATAACTTTTGCTATAAAAAAAATACAACAGCATAATTAAAAAAAAACTCTAAAAGAAAATCAGTGTTCAGCAACTAAAAATGCGTCTAATATAGTCTGCAAGAATCTCTCTCACTCTACTTTTATTTCTCATTGCTTAGCTAAAACACTGCAAAAGTTAGTTGTTTTAAAGTGTTTTTAAAAAGTATATGCATAGACTTTTTTTTTTACAAAATTTTTCACATTTTGTCACCGAGTACCTTTAAGATATTTTATGGAACTGTTAGTGATAAACCAACATGATTTCTTGAGATTGTTTTTCACTCTAACATGGTTTAATCTCAAAGGCCATCACAGAGACTGAATTACTCACAGTAATTTACACCTACGCCACTCTGCCACACTTTTTCCTTCCACTTAACTTTCCATGAATGTGATTTGGTACAACTCTGTGCTAACATCCAGTATGTAAAGCAAATCCCCCCAGTTTGTGGCTTATCGTCCCTGTGGTGAGCGACAGTGAATGTCTCCTGGATAACTGTTAAGTTGGCAGCCTTCCCAATGCCTTCGCCTGACGTTTCTCTATTAAAAACAATTTCTATATGTCTTGCACAATAATTTTCTGAGACAGATATTTTTCGAGTTTTCATTAGCTTTGAGTCATAATCATAAAAAAATAAATGAATAATAAATACTTCATATTTCACCCTGGGTGTCTATGGCAAATAATGAGTTTCAGTTTTTGAATTCACTTGCTAATATAAATAATTATTTACCTGATGTAATAATCTTTGAGACGCAAATGTATTCATTAATTAGGAGATTCTCAATTTTGCGTTTTATTTCGGGGTGTCAGAGCAAACAGGAGGAGTAAACACAAATGAAGAGCACAATGGGCATTTATTTGTATCCTGGCAGAGCAACATATTCATACGATGGATCCTGAGGTTTCCGTGGTTTGATTTTAGCTCTGGTATGATGTCTGGTAATTCCTTTATGATTTTAGCGAGTTGTTATTGGATGACAATGAATCACAAGATTCACCCACCAGGGTGCAATGTTCCCTCTACAATAATGTGTTGAAACATGACACCAACTGATCTGAGACAGAGACAGAGACAGAGAGAGATGGAGCGCGATAGAGCAGATTAATCTGTTATTTCTGACTGGTTTGTGTCTGGACTTCTTCTCACGGTTGCAAAAGTGAACATTGCTCTAAGGCAGTACTTCTTTTTTTTTGTTTTATTTGTGGGACAAACACACCAGTTCATCAACACAAATAATCCCAGACTCCTGAGAGGTCCGGGTCGAAACTTTACCTGCAGGCTGCTTTCCTGCTTTTCCCTCACGCTTTTGCTCGCGTACAGCGCCCTGCGTTGGCTGTGCGCTCGGTTCCGTGTCTATAAATAATCCCCTGGATGCTTAACATGAAGCGGTGTCAGCATTATTAGTGAGATGCTGCAGGATGTGCACCGCCTCTCCGCCGTGATGGATAACCAAACTCGTCTCCAGACAGATATTGGCAGTGCACCGCTGAACTAATTCCACGGTATCAAACTGGATTTACAACTCTGTCTTTAAGTGTGCAGAACAGAGATAAACATTATATTAGGAAGATGTTTTTATCATCCTGGCACAAAATGCATTTAAATGCGCAGTTTCTAAATGTGTTCGTCTTGTCGTTGCAGCATTTACTAAAATGATCACAATAAATGGACAGGAGTACCACCTTCAGCTTGTTGACACAGCAGGGCAGGTAGGACTCCATTACAAGCCTGGTGTCATGTTTCTGTTATAAACCCATTAACTCATTTCTCTGCTGGATGAATCTTTTCCAGGATGAATACTCCATCTTTCCTCAGACATACTCCATAGATATCAACGGTTACATCCTGGTCTATTCTGTTACGTCTAATAAAAGGTGAACGTTCGTCCCCGGCATCCCAGATGGACTCTGTGACCTTTCTAACTGTTCTCTTCATTGTTTTTCTTCCAGCTTTGAAGTTGTTCAAGTTATCCATGAAAAGCTGTTGGACATGGTGGGGAAGGTTCAGTGAGTACCTCCTTTTTTTTTTTTTTTTCTTTTTTGTGGCTTTGCTCTTCTGAGACTTTTTAAATCTCTCTTACACAAATGATGTTGTGGTTTTGTGATATATTTTCTTTTTAATGCAGAGTTCCAATTATGCTTGTCGGAAACAAGAACGACCTACATATGGAACGGTATGTCCCATCATTACAATGTTAGGTTTACTGGAGATTGCTCATCCTCTTCTGTGACAGCATATCAAAGGAAATCCGAAAATCAGACAAAGATAAAGTAAATACAAAAAAGAATTTTATTTATTAAAAAACATAAAAAGAACAAGCTGGATCACTCTGCATGAAAGGATTGTTTAATGCGAAGCGAAATTGTCTCAACTATTCCAAAACTTTCATTTTGGTTTGATTTGTTCTTAAACCAATCAGAGGTGGACTTGATGGTGTGTTTTGGATCGTTTACCAAGCGAACTTGGGCTTCAGGTCAGAAACTGGCAGCTATTTCTCTTCAGAATGTTCTGCTAGAAACTGATTCCATCAGTTTGAAATTTTCAAGGTTCTGAAAGAATAAAACTAGCGCCACCATGTTTGACTGTTGGTATGATGACAATTACACCAGTCCACAGAATATTTTCCCAAAGGTTCTGGGGATAACCAAGACTTTTTTAATTTTTAATTTTTTTTTTTTTTTTTTTCGGCAAATGTGCGACAGGCTTTGTGTTCACTTTGGTCAGCAGTGGTTTTTGGCCGTTGCTGCCCAGTCTCTGTTACTGGTGAATCACTAACACTGGTCGGTCTCAACTGAGGCGAGCGAGATCTGCAGGGCTTTAGATGTTGTTCTGGCTCCTGTTGTGGCCTCCTGGATGAGGTGTTGATGTGTTTTTGGAAATATTCCACAATGAAATGCTTTGTGATTGACTGGTTCACCACCGTGCTCCATGTTTTCTCCCTTTGTGGGTAACGGCTCTCACTTTAGTTTGTTGGCGTCCCAAAAACTCCAGACCAATAAATGTCAGTGACTTTCTTTCATCTGCTCTTGAATTTTTTTTTTTTAGACCACGGCTTAATGAGATGCTCTCTGAGATAGTTGAGCCTACTTCATGATGTCAGACAGGTTCTATTTTAAACTTTTTCCTGATTCCACAGGTCAGTCAGTAATTATGTCAGGTTGTTCCTACAAACACCTGACCAGGGCGTTTCTGGTTTTAATTTGACCTGAAACACAAATGAGAATGACATTTTTTACATTTCCAATTTTGCTGTTCGTGTGCACATCACCCATTTACATCTGCTGACTTCTGAGCTGCTGCAGATGGAGTTTTTTTTAATCTTTCCATTTTCACGTTTGCATGTGTTTTATTTCTCCACATCAGAGTGATCAGCTGTGAAGAGGGGAAAGCATTAGCTGAGTCCTGGAACGCAGCCTTCATGGAGTCCTCAGCCAAGGAGAACCAGGTAGAAAATGTTCATGTTTGCTGATAAAAGTTCCTGATTTTTTTTTTTCCCCCCACAAGTGTTCGTTCAACTTCCTCACTTAATCACAATTAGTTTAATGAAACTCATAATTGAGTTGGAATCGCAAAACATCATGTCACTTTTTTTTTTGTTAAAATTTAGTAAAATTATTTTTATGTAAAAACAAAAACCTTAAAGAATAATATATGACAAATTATTGCAAATTTTTATTCATACAATTATGTCAATTTGTGTCAGGTATAACTGACATTTGATTTTAACACAGCAGAAAAAAATGAGAATGAGAGGCTAAACGACAAAACATGACATAAAGGTTCAAAGAGAAGTATACAGACACATTCAACAAATTGGAATATTACTGAAAAGTCCATTTGTTCTAGGAACTTTATCCCTACATTACACACACAAATGGATGTTTGAATGCCTTTATTTCTGTTAATTATGATGATTTCCACTTACAGCTAATGAAATCATGACATTTAAAATTACAACATTACGTCAGACTGTCATGCAGTGCGGTTGTAGAATGGTGAGGATGGAAGTGGAGGGTTCACTGCAGTCATCATGATGGTTTCAATGATGACATACAAAAATTCAAAAATCCAGGCAGCACAGGTGAGCAGAAGGCGAGGAGCTTAGAACTGGTAGCAACTGGAATAACTAAAAAAAAACAACAACAACAAAAAAACAGGCACTGGGGCGTCACATCCGGATAAACCAAAACCTTACACAGACCAATAGAAAAAATATTTTTAAACACAGGTCAGTGAAAAGTATGTTTAGTACATGCTTAAAAGTTATTTTCAGAAGATACGTTTAATCTGACAAATGAATCGATATTCTAAATCACTGAACATAATTGTAATCGTCAACCTTAACTCACTGTTGTGCTAAATCTCTTATCTACTGTGTTTGTATTTGTTACTTCTCATGTAAACAACGTCAGACCGCTCCAGCTCAAAACGCATCATACTCGTCGTTCTGATTTGGTGGACGTTGGACCAAAGTGTCTCATCGAACCTCGTCCATCCGTCTCTGCTGTGCGACTGAAGGATGCTTTTGTTGAGCAGCGTTTCTGCTCCACGCCTGATTTCTCGATGAGAAGCCTCCCTTCTATTAGTCGTGCCGCTCGCAGTCGTTCGTCAGCTGTTTCAGAACGATGACCCTGCTGCAACACGACTGGCTTACGGTGAATTAAGCGAGCGCCACCGTCTGATTTAAATTCCACTTCATCCAGCTCAGAGGCACTTTACGCCGCTCCGCCTACATGAACTAAAGCAGCAGGTGTGCTTGAAGACGCCCACACAGTCTGTGTTCGGAGGCCCTGCGGCTTCGCACTTGTCATGTCTGCATTGTGTTTCCTGCCTTCGAGTGGACGAAAAGTCACTCAGGCACAACTGCATAATGCCTCATACTATTCACAGCTTCCCCTTGTTTAGAAGAGAAATAACAGCCTCTTTCAAGTCCAAAGCACAACAAAGCAACAAACGGAAGGCTGTGCTTTTGAGAAAGTTGCATTACGATATAAAATTGGAGACATGCACCTCCATAAAGACAAATGTTTCAAAATAAAACTAAAATATCGATGATGTGAAAGTCGAGTAATGAAAATAAGTAACAGAGACAAAAAAAAAAAAAAGCTTTTGAGATTGCAGCAGAAAAATGAAACATGCAGCAACATAAAACCACAAAAGGAAAGAAAATTTGAAAAGTAACAACTGAAAAAGAGAAGTTAAAAATTTCAGGAGAGCAATGTTTTTTTTTTTTTTTTAAGTTTATGGAACAAATGGAACACCAAAACAAATAATGTTTTATAAAATATATTTAGATTATTACATATCCACTATTTACTCACACTGTATACCTACAGTAAAATTAGCATATAGAAATAAATCTGATATGGCAAAATGTCTGCTTTGCATACCCCAAAAGATCAGAAAGACTAAAAACGTTTGTGACCCGCTGCGTGTTGAACTACTTAGATTTTCTCACCACACAAATATCTTCAGGTAGTCAATGAATCTGCTTTTCAAATGCAGTCAGACGCAGTGGGTCACGGTTTCAAAACTAACCGCCGAGTGTTGTAAATGAAAGTCACGGACTCCATGAAGGGTTGAAAGTTCAGCATGTGCCAAGTGCAGCATTTGACGTTGTTCCGCATGTGCTTGTCGCTCTCTCTGTCGCTCCCTCAGACGGCCGTGGAGGTTTTCCGCAGGATGATCTTGGAGGCGGAGAAGATGGATGGAGTGCAGCCTGTAAAAAACCCCTGCTCCATGATGTAGAGCCGCCCAATCAACACACAGGACACTGCACTGGGAAATCCCGTTACTTGAAGGCTAGCCGCCAGTTCCCCTCCACCTCAGCTGAGTCTACGCCCCTTCCTCAACCAGGGTCCTAAATACCCAAAAGTGTCTATTTATGGCTCTGATTCCACTGTCATTATCAGTATTCCCCATCCCCCCTTTCTGTCATCCTCGTTTTTCTTTGTGTGTGTGATTAAAAAACATGGATGGGTGGTTATTCTCTTGTCTTAAATCTCGCTCAGGCCACCTTTCCATATCTGTGCTCAGCACTGATGCAAAACCTGAAACAGTTGGTATGGATGTATCAGAACAAATATTTGTAGCTAGGAACAGAAATAGTAAGCTTGATGCATCTTAGCTTTTCCCCTGCACAGCTTCCATATAAGACCGCAGCCCCGTTTAAATGACAAGATAAAAGAATTGTGGTGTTTGCTGCGTATATGAAAAGAGTCAGATTAACAAATCTTTATTCTGATATATTGCCAGCTGTGTGGGCCTCTCTGATGTACACCTTTTCTACTTCATCACCTCGCAGTTCCCACGTCCCTCAGTTAGTTTCCCATTGGTTACTGTCAGCCAAAATTAAAATAATAATAATAAAATCTGCATTCATTTTCTAATGTTGAAAATGTTGTACAAATGTTTTTGATTGTAATCATTAAAGCAAAAAGTGGTTATGTAAGCAGCATGGTCCGTGGTTTATTCAGATGGATCTTTGTTAGAAAATTTGATGCTGCTGAACATTCAGGGTTTTTTTTTAATGTGCTTATCTGCAAATATGAAAGAGAGAAGGGATGATAAAATCATGTGTGAATCAGTAAAACTAAGTTTGTTTCTTGTCCAGGTAAATCCTGCTATAGTTTTTTTTTTTTTTTTTTTAGAGAAGTGTTATTTAAGTACAGCAATCTAAATCTAAAATTACATTTTTGATCCAACATATTTACAGTTGACTTCAGAAGTTTACATTTACCCGTTATTCAATGATTCCTTACAACTGTTCCGTTTTGGCAGTGGGATAATTATGCAACATAGACCTTCAATTATTAAAAAAAAACAAAAAAAAAACAAGAGCTACATTTTTTAAAATCTACTGTTAAATCCATACAGTTTGAATAAACTGTAGTTTAAAATGTAAATACAGCCTCACTAATGTTTAGATATGCCTCTTTGCAGGTTGCAGAGAATAGAAACGTTTTTGGAGTCGTCAATATGCTTCTGGTTTGAAATAATTCAAACCTGCTTGCTTTTGCAATGTTTAAGCAAATATAAATCCTTTCATTGTGTGGAGGCCATTTCTAGAAATCAACTTGATTAAATAAGCTCTACAAAAAAAACAAAAAACAAAAAAAAAGAGTAGACGTGGTGACTTGGATGACTCCAAATAATCAATTAGAGGGAGTGGCATTAATATTCATTATCAGACAAAATCCCCCCCCCCCTGCCCAAAATTCAAACTTAAAAAACTTATTTATGTTTAAAAATTACTGCATTTTTCTCCTGTAAGCAGATGGATCCTGCAAACAACAACAACTATAACAACAAAAAACAAATTTGTTTAAATCATTTAAAGCTCAAAATTGCTTTAGACATTAAAATCGATGATGAATGTGTGGAATTTTCTGGTGGGAAGTGTAAAAAACAAGCATGTCCTTTTGATACAAAAATAAAGCCTCGTCAGCCTGTTCAAATAAAAATGAAATAACAATAAAGAGAGGCACACATTTTTCTCCTTTTTCACTCTTTTATTCATCAGTGTCTTTACCAAATGCCCACAGAAGCTGCAGTCTGCCTTGGGACCCATTCACGGTTACAGCCTTGATGCCCAGCTGGACACTTTCCTTTAATTTGGAATTTTAAAAGGTGTTGCACATGTCTTTGGTGCAGCACTTTACATCTATGTAGGCGTTCGCCGCAAGCATTTTGCAGTCCGAGTAGGCAATGCACCTCCGAAAATGGCCAACTATGGACAGAAACACAAAGAAAGATTTGGTTTAAGTCTAATAAGAACATGCTGCAGTCCAACAGGCTACGTTTGACATTTCCAGGTATTTAACCTAAAATTCCTGCTTCTTTGCACTTCTGTGCACATACTGAAAGTTCAAATATTTTATTTCGTCCCTGTTGAAGCTATACGAGTTTTTGGTGGTTTTGACTTTGAGAAACTCACATGGTTGTCGGAGGAATCTGGCAGCAATACAGGCGTCCTTATTTGGTTCACAAGTCTCAACAGAGGTGTGGCAGGTTCCTCCGGCCCGACTTGGGACGCAGCGATGGCAGTCCAGAGCTCCGCCTGGAAACAGAAGCAAAGATTTCACTTTTGTTTGTTTTTTTTAGGGATTTTTAAAATGTGTCTAATTACATATGAATGATGATGTTTTATGCCAGCAACGTTTATTGATTAAAAATAGAAACATATTCATCGTCTCTTGCAAAAGGGTTCAAACCCAGTGAAACTTCTCACATTTGTCACCTTTACCACAGACTTTGCTGTATATTTTCTTGTGATGGACCATTGTTCCCAGTAAAATCTGAAAAGTGTGGTGTTACACAACGCTATGTAGAATCTTTTAGTATCTCTATCCTCCATTTTCACATCCAGACTAACATTCTTACCTGCTCGGTGAAATAGCTCAAGCTCAGTCAGATTGGTGTGAATAGCAATTTTACAGTCTTGAAACTGATTCTGAAATAGATTTTTTCACTGGACTTTGACTGGGCCATTCTAACATGAGCTAAACCACTCCACTTCTGCCCCAGTCTCAAATCTTTTGCTTCATTGTAACAAGTTTTCCTTCACGTTGGCTTTGTTTTTCATTTTCTCATCAATTCTGACCAGCTTCCCTGTCCCATGTAGAAAGGCAGCCCCACAGCATGACACTGCCACCACCATGTGTAACAATGAGTATTGTGTTGAGTGTTACTATTCTCCTGCAGGATATGAGAGCTTCATGTTTATCTCATCTGAACAGAGCACCTGGTCAGATGCATGCCACACTTTTCAGCTAAAAAAAGAGAAAACCTTCTATCATTTTCTTTTGTTAAGGCAAAATAAAATGTGGCAAAGTTCAAGCAGTGTGAATACTTGTGCAAGGTGGTGTACGTTGATGTCGTAATTTATTGCAGAAAGGTACTTCTCCATACTGTTGCATAGCAGCAGGTTGTATTTGTCCAGTGGACAATCAGTGACAGACTCACCAGCTGTAAACAGCAGGACGAGGGCTAATGCCAGGATCAACAACTTCATTTTCCTGCTCTGCTCTGCAGTCTGATCCAGAGAAACAACACACAACATGAACAGTGTTTCAAAATCTACAGTTTTCATAGCAAAGCAAACAAACAAAAAAACAGCTAAATGAATTCAAACAGTCTGTTCTAGTCAGACGTGAGCTGATTTCTGTTTTACAAAGTTCAAATTAAGCGGATTGTTAAACTGACGTCTTCTTCCTTTAAACATTTAGATTAAAATTGTTGCGTTTATTCAAATCCATGTACATACCTCACTGGTTTGTCTGCTTCAGTTTCTGTCAACGACTGAGGTGCACAGTGACCTTTCCTCTTTTTATACTTCTCCATACTCCAGTCCTGTCATGGTTACGCCCCATTAGGTATAATATCTCTGTTAAGTCTGTGTGCTCAGCTCCTCACTGTGTCCAGGGTTTTCCCAATGCATTATGCAAGAGCAGTCGACTCCTACCTCAGGATGAAGTTGTCACAGATAACAATGTCTGCATTCGTCTTTAGGCTGGATGTGACTAAAGCCAAAGACAATGTGTGTTTGCTTTGGGAAGATTATGGCAGACAAAGTAGAGCTGGCTCACGTTCACCTTTAAAACAAATATCATATAAGAGTCAAAAGTTGGACTTCAAAATCCCTGGATTTTTTTTTTTTTTTTGTAATAAATCAAAATGTATAATTAGGGAAGTGATGTTGTTCAGTTATACTTAGTTTATCCGTGAAACCTGTGACTGACAATAAAGTATCACTGCATTCTAAAGTAGTTTGCATTTCTATTGTGAGGTTCCTGAAAATCCCTGGGACGTTGCTTCCTTCTGTGATTCATGTTACAGCTCATTTTTCATTCTTTTCTAACATTGACCCATTTTAGCTGAGGCGTCTTTATAACATTTGGGCGGATGAAATATCTCTGAATTGGGTCCATCTGAGGGAAAATGTCACACCCTGGCTTAAATTACTCCTTTAGTAAATGTCAAGTCCAATTAGAGTATTTAAAAAGTCTTTATTTATTTATTTATTTATTTATTTATTTGCTGCTGATAAAATTGAAGTAAAACAAAGGAAAGTGAAAGCAAATATTGCATAGCCAAGATACCAGCAAAATAAGCAGCTGGTCAAAAAGGCAGGGGTCCCCCCAAAAAAAGAAAAATTCACACATCAGGTTTATAAATGTAAATGTAGACATTAATGATAATAATAACAAATATTATGTGGGTTTTATTTAATTATCACTGGAGCCAACTCCAAAGAGTTTAAACATTTTCAGCACAATCAACAAAACCTCAGATATGAAGATAAATTGTTTAGAACTACTTTGACAGCAGCAATAAGAACATTGGTCCATAATCAAAAGTGTATGGACCAGTTTTATAGAATAAGATGTAAATCAATATTCTGTTAATTATTGCCCTTCTTTTCTCAGTCAGTACTGATTAATGAGTTCTAGAAGCCACAATCTAATACAAGCATTTTTTTAAAAGATGATTATCAATATAAATATGTACCCTTTAACTAAAGTACTATGAGAAAGCACAGATCATGTCCAGGCTATTCATGCCTGAGGCGTCGATGTTTTTCCTCTTTGCCCTGCTGTTCCTGCTGCTTCTCGCTCTCCTAAAGCTCTCCAAGCTAATGGGAAGCCTTTACACCTGAGCTCTATCTCCTCATCAGACTGGCATTAAGAGAGGATTTGACAGGTGTGTATGACATTTGTGTATTTGTGGTAACCTTCCAATGGCTTGCTCCTTGTGTCTCTGTTCTGTGGTCTAGATTTGTGCTCCTTATTCTCACTCTGAGTTTCCTCTGCGGATGCTCGGTTTTCTTTTGGGAAACTCCAAGGCAAACTTTCAGTGCCTACTTGGATTCCTGGTTTTCTCCACAGACTTCTGCTTCAAAGCCTCGCCTCAGGTCATCCTGTAATTATCACCTCTCCCTGTCTGCCCTCCAACGCAACCTCTGGACTTGAATGTAAAATCCTGGAAAGAGACATTCCTATGATCTTATTCAGCTCAATCATTTAACTCAGTCCTCCTTTGTACCTCCACCAACGCTAGTCGCCCTGTGCCTCTCCTCCCAGAAAATTTCCCAGACTGATAACAAGTTATCTGTTTGTGTTTAATAAATTTAGCAGTTTTTACCAGCTTGCACAACCCATAAAGTTATAATTTAATATAGTATATGATTTGCAAATCTTTTAAATCGTAAACGATAAAATCAGCTGTCTGTGTGACACAAGAATAGATTTCCACTGAAGGATTTTCAGAAAGTAGATTTTAAAAAGCTGCTCTGTGTGCTTTAGGGTCAATGTTGCAACAAGAACCGTTGGTCAACTGACAATAACACAAACCATGCCACATCTGTGGCAGCATGTTGGAGTAGCTCTGTAATTTCATTGAGATTTTTCTTTTGGCAACCATAGCAACACAATGTTTAAACAGGGAGGAGCA